ATCGGTATGAAGTATGTAGTACTCCGTACCTTTATATTATAGTCTGTCACTGTATCGGTGTGAAGTATGTCGTACTCCGTACCTTTATATTATAGTCCCGGTCACTGTACACTGTATCGGTATTAAGTATGTAGTACTCCGTACCTTTATATTATAGTTCCGGTCAGTGTACACTGTATCGGTATGAAGTATGTAGTACCCCGTACCTTTATATTATAGTCTGTCACTGTATCGGTGTGAAGTATGTCGTACTCCGTTCCTTTATATTATAGTCCCGGTCACTGTACACTGTATCGGCATGAAGTATGTAGTACTCCGTACCTTTATTTTATAGTCTGTCACTGTATCGGTGTGAAGTATGTCGTACTCCGTTCCTTTATATTATAGTCCCGGTCACTGTACACTGCATCGGTATGAAGTATGTCGTACTCCGTACCTTTATATTATAGTCCCGGTCACTGTATCGGTAGTAATTATGTAGTACTCCGTACCTTTATATTATAGTTCCGGTCAGTGTACACTGTATCGGTATGGAGTATGTAGTACTCCGTACCTTTATATTATAGTCCCGGTCACTGTATCGGTATGAAGTATGTAGAACTCCGTACCTTTATATTATAATCCCGGTCACTGCACACCGTATCGGTATGAATTATGTAGTATTCCGTACCTTTATATTATAGTCCCGGTCACCGTACACTGTATCGGTATGAAGTATGTAGTACTCTGTACCTTTATATTATAATCCCGGTCAATGTATCGGTATGAAGTATGTAGTACTCCGTACCTTTATATTATAGTCCCGGTCACTGTACACTGTACCGGTATGAAATATATATATATTACTGTTGTAGTACCTCCTGTAAATGGGTTATAACAGCACCTATGGGGACAGCAGTAGGAGTGGAGTTTAGTCAAGTCATTATAGGAAGTCGTAACCAAATAATTCATTCAAACGAACAAGGTAAGACATTTCACTTTTGTGTGCACATTTAATAGATTTACACGTTCATATTGATCCTTGATCGAACGGATTTACTCAATTACGTTCACCTTAGTTTAGCACAATAACAATAACCGTGATCTTTGATTTAAGTGTAATAACACAAAAACATTGAATTTTGATCAAATAGATTTACTTAATAACTTTGGTGTGTAATCAAATCGATTTGCGCAATAACATTGATATTGGATCAAGCTAATTTACACAACAACGTTGATATTTGATCAAACCTGTTTAGACAATACTGCTTATCTTTGATTAAGCATATTAACACGCGTTGGTTANAATTTACACAACAACGTTGATATTTGATCAAACCTGTTTAGACAATACTGCTTATCTTTGATTAAGCATATTAACACGCGTTGGTTAAATGGCTCATTCCCCGAACACCAACTCTGGAGAATTGAAAGGAAGGTGTTTATATAGGAAATCCTTTGAAGTTTAGTTATAGCCTGTTTCAACTAAGAATGTCAACTGATTTTGTAGATATGATACTAAAGTCAATAATAAAATGGATAACAAGTTTTTATTTCCTACATATAACTGTAATACACATTTAACACAGAACTAAGTAATAGAAAATAATCATTTAATATTAATTTTTACATTATATGAAAAAGAAAAATAACATAACATTATATGAAAAACAAAATTCCTTAATTTAAGCCACATTGATACTAATGTCAGCAATAAAATACAGTTTCTATTCCTACATATAACAGTAATACACATTTAATACAGCACTAAAAGATAGCCATTATTAAACATAAATATAAACAGTAAACCTTTCTGGAGCTAAAATAATATCTTCCTTTATTTCGAATGTTTGGTCAGTTTTTAAGTATATCCATCTACGTATGTCTTGCCAGAAGTTATTTGTTATTTGACACTGTTAAAAAAAGATGTTCTATAGTTTGTTTGCTTTCTTGGCATAAATTACATAAAATCACATTGTTTGATTCCAATTATTTTCAAATAATGATTAAGTGGAAGTATTCTTGAAAGAAGTCTGAAAGTGACCCATTGAATGCTAGTTTTATATAAAGTTTTCTAAATCAATCATTTTGAGTCCACCCTCACTATAGTCTTGAACAATTGTTGAGCGTTTTATTCTATCAATTGGTGATTGCTAGACATTTTGTTTTTGTTCAATGATTGAATTATGTCTTTACTTAGGGAGAGATATAAACAGGTGATTCATTTTTGCAATGATAAGAGATTTAAGAACAGTTAATCTCCTTATAGGTGTTAAAATTCTTCTTGACCATTGGTGTAACTTGCCATCTATAATACTAATAATTTTGTTGAAATTTACAGTAACCATGTCTTCTAAATTGACAGAGAAATCGATCCCAAGAAAGTCAAATTTGGTCGTTCCCCATTTTAGTTTTTTTCAGTATTTACTTTTAACCCTGATATTTTAGCATATTTATATCATATAAAGATGTTGTGCCATTTAAAATAACGGATGTGTCATCAGCGAACTGTGAGAGCCCGTGTTCTTTGTTATTTATGTTTATGCCCTAAAGTTTTTTTATTGTTTTTTTACCATGATAGCTAATATTTCAACTACCAAAAGAAATAAGTAAGATGATACCGGATCCCCTTGTCTACAGACCCTTTTTATGTCTACAAAGTTGAGTTAAAAAACGATTCTGTATGATAGCCGAGGAAGTGTTTGTATTAAAACATAACAGATAAAAATATCAAACTGAAGTCACACAATTCAATTCAACATTATTCTCTTTCACAACACAATGTATAGAGAAACATATTTACAATATAATATATAGTAATTGTAGTGTTCGTAGTCGGTAGTACACAGTACTGTTTCATAATATATACACATTTATATAGATGAGGTCAAATATCATTATTAATTATTCTAATAAAAGTACAAAGTTTCTTCAGTGTTTTTATGTTAGTAGTATTCATCAATTCATAAAACTTAATTACATTTGGTCTCGTCCAAAAATATTTGTCTATATATAAAATTCGAAACCCAGATAGTGACGGACACTCAAGCAAGTAATGGAATTCGTCACCAATTTGCTGACTGTTACAGTGTGGACATTTTCTTTCATTATACTCTATATTATGCCGGTTTCAACAATGAATTTGTGATTAGTAGTCTTAAATTTACAAAATGTAACTCTATCTGTATCACTTAAAATGTCAAAGTAATTTTCAAAATGACAATTATTTTTAAAAATCCTATAACATGTAGCTTTTGATGACAAATGTACATCACTCTGCCATTTCTGTAAGTACTGGTCGTACACTTTTTGTTTAATAACATGCTTTAGCCATGTGATATTACATTCTGAAGTATATTGGACATTCCATAGGTAACTCATACCACATTCATTTAAAATACGTTTAATAAAGCTTATATATGGAACCAGTTTATCATCAACATTATGTTGATGGCAAAGAAATTGATACCATATAATATTAATTTTATTTCCTTTAGAATGAGTCAATTGTGACCAATATGATATTATTCTTGTTTCTACTGTTATTTCAAGTGGACTAGTACCTAGTTCTCCATATACCATATAATTAGGGGTGCTACTTTTTAACCCTAGTAATAATTTACAGAACTGTAAATGTACACGTTCAATTACTTTAAGGTCAGAAAACCCCCAAACTTCACAACCATACAACAGTATGGGTTTTATAATCTTGTCAAATAAATCATATATACAATGAACTGATAAATTATGTAGTCTACCTTTATTTATAACGTCATACATTGCTATAGTAGCCTTTTTAATATTGTAATTTTTCGTTTCATTGAATGAAGCAGTTCGACTAAATGCCGTACCCAAATAGGTAAAATTGTCCACTAACTCTATCACCTCATTATTAAATAAAAATACATTTCTATTGTTCTTACGTCCTTTACTAAACACTACACATTTGGTTTTTCCTATATTAACCTTTAATTTCCACTGTTTACAGTATTCACTGAATACATTTAATTGTAGTTGCAAGTCAACTGGACAGTCCGAGAAAAGTAGTGTATCATCAGCATATAGTAAAATAAAAAGCTTTATGTATACATGTAGATTATTTTCTAATTTAGTACTAAGGTTTGTCAAACCCTGAACGTTATTTTGGACCATAAACTCTTCTAGATCGTTCAAGTACAGACTGAATAAAAAGGGAGATAGATTTTCTCCTTGTCTCAAACCATTTTCACATGGAAAATAACCAGAACATTCACCATTAAAAGATATATTTGACTTAATGCCTTGATACATGTTAAAAATAATTGTTAACATTTTCCCATTAAT